GCTTACTACAGGTTTGCAGATTTTTGTAAAAATGAAGGGTGCAGACGAAAGGCCAAATGGAAGGGAGTTGAATTGATATAGCTTGTCATCGTATTCAAATCTAAGGTATTTCCTATCCGAGTTATCTATCGGTACTAATAGGTAAGCATCTTTGAGGTCTAACCTACACATGAAATCCCCTGTATTTAATAAGTTTAACGAGGTCCTAATGTCTTCTAATTTAAAAAGTTCCCGTTTTAGAAATTTACTAAATATTTTAAGATTTAAAATTAATCTATGGGAACCGTCTGGTTTGCTTTTGAGAAAATATGGCGACAGGTATTGCTCTTCTTTGAAGGAGTATTCTTCTATTGCTCTTAGATCAATTAAATTATTGATTTCTTTGTCCAAATCTAAGTTTGGACTCAAAGTATTAGGATTTTTTTATCTGTATTGGGAAATGATCAAAATTTAATTTATAGCCATTAATTGCTTGCAGTACAAATTTGTCCTGCGTTATTTGTTCCCAATTATGGGCAAAAAATTTTAGCCTTGTAGCATGTATAATTACCTGATCATTACTTAATATATCGGTTCTTCTGAGGCTGCGACTGCGTGTAGAAGCCTTTGGATGGTGATTTCTTCGTCGAATTGTTCGGTTGTCTGAAGGTAGTTTGTTATGCCTGATATTGCAAGTAGCTCCCCCTTACCACCTTCTTTATGGTGGAGCTTCTCCAGTTTAACGTATTTGATTTCGTTGTTGGTTGATTTTTAGGCTTCATTTCCTTTGATAATTTTTCTATCGCTCTTGATGTGTCCACTAATCCTTTAACATTGTCTCCAAACAGCATGGTCGTTAGTTCGACTTTTACAAGAATTTTTTGGATTTTTTCTTCGTACCTGCCTACAATGAAGGTTTTTCTTGATAGCGTTAACGCCGAAAAAAGTTGACATAGTGCTCTCACTGCGTTTGATAGATATTTAAGGACATCTTCTCGGTTTGGAAGCACTTCATTGTCATTTAGGATTATATTTAGGACTTGCGCTGTAGCTGCGAGCGCTCCGCCTGTAAAGTTTTGATAGTCTTTGAAATGATTATCTCTCGTTTGGACTCTTGGATGTATGTCCACAAGAATTTCTTCATTTAATGTCGGTGTTTCGAGGTTCAACGTACCTTTTCTCGGAAGTAGTGAGAGTAATTCTTCTTTTTCCTCTTTTTTAAGCGAAGCTCCCTTAATCCACGTTTTTATGCAGTTTGCAATGTCCTCTCGGAGGACTAATTCGACAGTGGTTTGACCCGGGTTTGTCCCTAGATAAATGTCTGCTTCATATGTGTTGACGATTGTCATTGTAGCTTCATCGTTGTTTACGAGAGGGGTCTCCTCAGTCTCAAGCGATTCTGAAACCGGGAGAGGATATTTAATTATTTTTGTTCTCGTTTTAGAGTTTTCGTTTATTATTCTTGCCTCCGATTCGAGATCGGAAGTCAGAATAGTGTTTTGGCTCTTGGCATCAATTCGTGATTGAAACTTGGCCATTTTGATTTGAGCGTGGTTTATTCGGAACCATGAACTTACCTTCGTCTTCAATCTGAATTTCAATAGTTTCTTCCGTTGGTTCCAAATTCTCCAGAGCATCGAGTTCTGCGAATGCTTGGTTCATTTCTATTTCGAGTTGTTTTATTCTTTCTGTTTTCTGTTGTTTCGTTACCTGCAACGCTTTCATGTCGATTTTCTCCATGTTTGTTAGATGTGTGCGTATCCGGCGCCAAGAAACGTGATGGAACAAAACATTGCGGACATACACGGAAAAAATAAGTCAGCAAAACTTTCGTAAACTATTATTTCACTTTTGGACGGGGCACAAATTTTTAAACGTTTCATACACTTTTTAGTAATGAAGCATAAACTTTACCGAAAAAATGAAACAGAGTCAAGAAATTATTTACAAACTGTATAGGAAGATCAGTTTGTTAATCTATATTGAACAGTTTTTAATAATATTGTTTAAAGATTGTCGAATTTCTATAAAAAGTTTTACAACATTGTAATAATTGAGGTTCGAAAGTTTGAAACATAAAAGAGAGTAGTTAAGACAGCAGTCAACGAAAGAATCGTAGACTTTTTCTAAAATTCCGAACATGCGCAGTTCGTAGCTTGGTCAGTGTTGATCAGTGGAATTAACTTCTTCGTTCGCGTGGCTCTCGATAGCCGCGGCGGTTAGTTGCTAAGACAAAATGCGTTATACATATATCTTGGTTAGGTAGGTTCGTATCCCGCGGAAGCAAATTCCGAATTTTAATGTCGATAAAATTGTGTATTGTGCGTATATAAGATATTAATAATTGTGTTTCAAGTGATGTACAAATTAAGTAAAAAATACCCCTGAATGTGAATTTTTTTTTAATTTTTCTAAATTTTTTGTGAGTTTACAAGCGTTTGGTTGACTGTCGTCGAATTTTTATGCATATAAGTGTTACAAAATCTTTGGTGCACGTACTTAAGTTCTAGCTGAGAGTTTATGAAAGTTTGATAAACTGATTCCGAAACATCAGAGCACATTGAGCATCGGCTCGTATACACAGTTCACATTTTTATAATTAGTTTTGTTTTCTTAATAAACTGTGTCTATACTTTTTGAACAACTTTCGTTTCCGTCCAAAAGTGAAATACTAGTTTACGAATAAGTTTACAACAAACTATGTCGAAAATTTTGGATTCTGAGCAATGAACAGACAAAGGTCTGATTTTATTAATATAGATTAAATCATTTTAAATTATTAATTTAGATTAAAAGTTCGTAATTTCACTATTTTTGCAATAAAATTTAAATTAGAATTATAAAAAATACTTGAGCAAACAAACAGACAGACAAAATTTTTTTACAGAAATCAAATTCTGATGTCTCAAAACGAAAAAATATATCAAAATTTATAAGTTTGGGGCAATGTACAGACAGAAGTCTGATTTTTTTAATATAGATTATAGATTAATAATCCAGTACCGATTTCGAAACGTTTAAGATGTTTTTATAAAGTAATTTTGTAAAATTTAAGAAAATTGTTCCTCTTCGTATCACTTATACTATTTGAAATACAACACATATTTAAAATTTTTTTTTGTTTTTATACCAAAGGAGGAACAATTTTCTTAAATTTTTTTTTTAAAATTGTCCTTTTGTGTATCAATTATATTATTTAACATAAAACACATATTTTTCAAATATTTGTTTTTATACCAAATAAGATCGCTTCGAGTACGGAACCGTCGATTTCAGTGCGAGTGTAACTCGCACTTGTCCGATTTTTTTTTTGATATATTCCTGTCCTAAAAAATTGCCAAAATTTTAAAAGAATAGTATATTATGTGGCAAGCACGTAAAGTAGTACTTTTTAGGTGAGGATGTAATTTTCAGTACAAGCTGTCGTTAGTGCGACGTAGGTGAGACGAAGACGAGCCGAAAGCGAGCCAAGTCGAACCGAAGTCGCACAGACAGCGAGTATTGAAATCATCCGAACCTAAAAATTACTACGTGCGAGCCACATACGCTATTTTTTCGCCATTGTTATGAAAAAGTGAAACAATTTTAAAGAAATATATATATATTATATATTATGTATTATATATTTTAAATATATATAATTATAAATGAATTAATATGTTATTATTATATAATATATTATAATATATTATTATATAATATACATATATAATATATAATATAATATATATGAAATAGTATATAAAATAAAATAATAAAAATTGATAAATAAAATAAAAGCAAAACAAAAATTATGCAAAAATTAACAACTGCCTAAAAAAGTCTTTTTTAGGCAGTTGGCCCAAACTGCCTTAAAAAGTGCTACTTTATCTGCCCAAAACAGGCACAAAAAAGACACTTTTTCATGTCAATGGCGAAAAAATTATAATTTATTATTAATTGGGACAAAACATCAATGAAGATTAGATGCTAATACAATTTGAAGTGAAAAAAGAATTTGAAAAATATAATAAAATAATTTTTTTTTAATTTTAATTAATTTTGTCTTTAAAAAATGATAGTTCATGTTCGAATCAGGCTATTAATATTTTAAAAAATAAATATTTTTAAAAATTCAAGAAGAATTCAATGCTTTCGAGGTCGCCGTACATCATAGTATATACTGTGTGCAATTTAATGAATTTGCAGTTCATGATAATTTTAGCCACCCACAAATTTTTTGTGTATACGATTTATTTGTGTAAAATTTGCGCTCATATTTTGATTTTTATAGTAATCCAAACTTGCAGTAGATCACTTGGTCAGCGTAACGAGGCCTTGCTCTTAATGTGAAGCACTTGTCTTTGAGTGTGTTTCACCAAATGATACCGACAATCTTTTTTGATTTAAAAAAAATTTTAACATTGACATTAATAATATTTTCCTTTATTTTATTTTTGAAAATTTACTTAATTTTTGCTTTTAATTATTGAAAATAGATTTAGACTAACTTAAGTTTGATAGTAATTTAATTACACAGAAGTGTAACATGGTTAAATATTTCAATTTAATAATAACTATCTTTATTAATTAGCTTAAAATTTGACCTCAAGTAATTAGTGTTTTGTAAACTGAAAGAAATATGTTGATAGTGTAAAAAAAAGAGTCTTCTCATATTAGTGCTCACAGTTCGAAGCACAAACTGTCGACATAAAATTTATAATCACATATTAATTTAATTTATATTTTTATGGGTCATTAAAGTAGGTGTTTTTAACAAAATCATTTTGACAATGCGTTTCATTCCAAAATTTGCTAATCGTTATCTAACGATTAAAATTAATAATTTCAATTGTATGAAATTATTAAGTTTATTACTGTAATAAAAACATATTATAAAAATATTACAATTTTTGAAAAGTGTTTTAAAAAATGTAAAATCTTTTTTTATACCTATTATTTAGTATAAAAATTAACCTAATCTCAGCAATTAATTAAACACATATTAAAAAAGAAATAACTTTTAAAAAATAAATTTTTAGAACAGAAACTTGAAAATGGCGTTGGTAGCGATCAGTCGAGTCAGTAGTCGGGTGTCAATTGATTCGACCTTCAACCATTTGAATCATTTGGGAGCAATCGCCCGACAGAGACAGCCGTGCTTTGCAGTATTTGTACAAAGTTTTGTCGCAGAAGCAAAAAAAATGAGTCTGCCACGCGTTTTCTTTGATATGACCGCAGATGGTAAGAACGTGGGTCGCATCGTAATGGAGGTAAAGATTTTTTTAATACGTATATAATAATGTAATATAATTAAATATTTTTATTATAAAAAAATAGATTTTTTTGTTTATACTTTAATTACTCTTGTTCTATTTAGATAAATTAGCATTTTTCATCTACCTTACTAGTATAGTCATTTTTTTTAGTCATTTTTGAAAAAGTATATTTGATTTTGTTATAATAATTATTTGCAAAATTGTAATACAATTTTTTTTAAATACAATTTTAACATAGTTGATGCATTTAATTTACAAAAATTATTATTTAATTTATTATTAGTATTATTTACAAAACTCGTTCGTTCATTTAAAATTTTTCTATTCAGATTTTGATGATTTAAACATTCTGAGCTTATATACATATAATGTTATTTACATAATATTCTTCATGTGAATTATTTAATTGTGTCATCGAAACATCTTCTTGTAACCTCGGAAGGGATTTATTTTATCTGAATGTCACTTGAAAACGTTTAAATAATAGTTCTTCATTAAAAAGTTTTGAATTGTTATGATTTTAAAATTTATTCATAACAATTATAAGTACAACTGAATACTAAAATATTGTTTTTGTCAACTTTTCAAAAATTAAAACTTATTATTACTTCGTTGAAAATACATTAGTAATTTTAAATTTTTTACTTAATTTTTAATACATTCTTATTTACTTATTATTTCGTTTTATTTTAATAAATATTTTAAAGAAACACCTTTAATAATAAATTAACTTTTTAGAAGCTAAAATATTTTCATTTTTTCTAAAGTTTCAAAAAATTGATTGATATCGAATTTCGTTTTGATTCTAGGAAAGATTCTTCTTCTGAAAAATTCTGCATATGAAAAAGGTGTTATTTCTTGTTTCTACTGTCAGTTACAAATAACACAACCCCACAAAAAGTAACCTGCGCGGCAGACCAGAGTATCCTATCCCTACGTATTTTGATGCGCTGAACTCAAATTTGGTTCATCACGTCAGGACTTTTTCTGAATTAAAAATTTTAAATGATCACTCGTAAGACATAGTAAACGCAATAAAAAAACAACAAAAAAGTCTTTTTTATTCTCTTCAGAATATTTTATTATTGTATTATAATAAAAAATAAACAATCATTACGAAACAATAATGAAGACAATAAAGAAATGTGAAATATTTATGACATTGTTTACCAACTGTCGAAAAGTAAATGATATATGATATATTATTTTAAATTACCTTAATTAATTACGTTATATTTAAGGTTAAAAGAAAGGAAAATAATAGAATACTAATATTTTTTAACCTCAAAAATCATTGTCGGCAACATTTTTTTAATATTTATGTATTTTCATGTTAATTGGTATCTAGTGGTATTTAGAGACATTGATGACGAATCTGAAATTCAATTTTCCAAATGATCCTAAATAACAGGAGAATTTTTAAAAAATTGTTTGATTTTTAAGGAATTTAGTTTGTGGTTATTTTTTGAGTCACTGATTATGAATTTAAAGTTCTTTTCATAGTACAATTAATAACAAATTCAATTTAATGGACAAATTAAAAAAAAATTGTTAATTTTTTTCAAAATGTACTTTTTAGAGGTTTTTAGATTACAAATTTGAAATCAGACTTGTGAAATACAAAGTGACGGATCTAATACATTCAAACCATTTTTTAAACTATTACAAATCACATTAGGTTATGAAAATATCCTTAATTAATTGAGTAAATCTGACGTCAGATTCATGTTTAGTGTATTAAAATACATAGTGAGAGGGTACTCACTCATTTCGTACTTCGTGACGAAATGTGGTTTAGCAGGATATTGCCTTTTTAAAAAATTGAATTATTATCATACGTTATATGTAAAAATAATTTAATATATTGTATAAATCATTTAATTAATAGGTTATCTAAAAACAGATTATTTGCTTCTATGAAAATTTTTATTTTTAACCCATCACCGGAATGTACAAAACTTTTATACGAACTTTGAGGACATTTTTCAACATTTAAACGCTACGATACAAACTTCGCAAGAGACATTTTTTACGTTTCAAAAACCGCTGTATCAAATGGTGTGCTAAAAAAAACCGAAAATTTTTAAACAAATAATTTATATGCACTTTTTTTTAAAGAAAAACCGATTTTTTAGAATTTTTTCAGTTTTTGTAATTTTTTCATTGCTTATCACATCAGACTACATCTAAATGTTAAAAATTTCGCGTCAAAAATGTTTGGGCTACAAGATAGGAGTATTGAGAAAATAAATTTCAAAATGGCTGCCACAAAATGGTGTTCAAAGATAATATTTTTAAACAATTTCATACCAAGTGGACGAAATTTTTAAAAGTTGTTAGATTCGCTTGAAATTTGTTAATCGGAATTTTTTGGTGTCGCTTATTACGAATCTGATGTTAGATTTTTAAAAATTCAAAATGTCCTATTCAATATGGCGGTCAAATATTTAAAGAATTATTTGATTTTTATAAAACTTGGTATCTAAGGGTTTTTTTGGTCGCTGATTATCACGAATCCGTTATCAGTTTTTTAAAATTCTGTTAGAAATGATTTATTTCTAACGTGTTTCAAAGAAATAGCACGACAAAGAAACACATCATTAGAAAATAATTGAAAATAAATTTTATTATAAGATTATCAATTAAAGTTTCAATTTTACAAAAAGTTTAGTTAACCCCTTCACTGTTAGAGAAAAAATTGATACTGTGGTCCCAAAATGTCCAATAAATTCTGATCGAAATTTTTTTATGAAACTTAGTATTTTTAGGGTTTTTGACGTCTCTAAATTAAAAAAAAATTTCATGATTTTTACTTGTTTTTCAATTGTTTATTAGTTAAAAATAATAAATAAGTACTTAATTATTAATTAAGAAAACATCATTGAAAGTGCAACATTGTAGTGTGCAAATAATGATATAAAAGAATTTATTTTACAATTTAAATAGAAAATTTCATTTATTTTGTGTTAAGATGATCACGACACAACGTATGTGTCGCTGACAGTTTGGGCCCCCTAATTTCTCACGACATAGTGTATGTGTCGCTGACAGTGAAGGGGTTAACTTTCGAATCTCTTTGAGTATGAAATCACAAAGGCCACTCGGACAACACATACTGCATCACAAACCGATCAAATTCATGCATCGGTAAAACGATCAACGCTCTATATATTTTATATATTTTTTTTTTAACTCAAACGCAATTCGCTTGAGACTTGTTACTCGGGGGTTTTGGGGGACGTTGATTACAAATCTGAACTTGATTTTAAAAATTTCAAAATGTCGAAACCAATATGGTGGAATAAAAAATTTAAATCTTCTAATTTGTCTGAAACTTGTTACTCGGGGGCTTTTATGGTCGTTAATTTTAAACATTTTTTTTTCTAGGAGTTGAGATTAGTAACTTCTGTATAAGGTTCAAAATTACGCCACTTTCCAAAGTAAATTTTGCTAATACTCCATCGTAACATAATAATAATTAAAGAAACAACAATTTTTTTTCTTTTTTTGACTGAATATAAAATAAGTTATGATCAGCTGATCCTAACAATTATGTTATCAGGATTTTTTTTATTTTAAATTTAATACTTTTCTGTATAAAATATATAAATTTCGTTAAAATTCGTTAATATGAATCGCAAATACAAATTGTTTAAGAAAATGTTACACAAATAGTAAAACTTTTTATAATATTTGAATTTCAAAAAATTATTTATAACTAAAGTAGCTGCAATATGGTAGTACAGAATTCTATCATTCATCTCTTTCTTAAACATATGTTAATAGCTGATTCTAATCAAAAAAACAAATTTAAAAATTTTTGGTATTACAATGCTTTCTCCTTGAAGAAGCAATAAGAAGAATATGAAATATTATGTACGTAAATTATTGTTAAAATGTACTTTTATAATACTTATACTAAGTTAAGTGTTTTTATATGTTTACAGCTGAGAAGCGATGTAGTCCCTAAAACTTCAGAAAATTTCCGAGCTTTGTGCTCTGGGGAGCACGGTTTCAGTTACAAAGGTAGCAGTTTCCATAGAGTTATACCAAACTTTATGTGCCAAGGTGGGGATTTTACAAATCATAATGGTACAGGAGGAAAATCAATTTACGGTGCTAAATTTGAAGATGAGAATTTTCAATTGAAGCATGTAGGACCAGGAATTTTATCAATGGCAAATGCTGGACCAAACACTAATGGTAGCCAATTCTTTATCACGAGTACAAAAACATCATGGCTTGATGGTAAACACGTTGTGTTTGGAAAAGTAGTCGAAGGACTGGATGTTGTTAAAAAGGTAAATTTAAAACATAATTTGCAAACACCTAACAAAAAAATTATTATATGTGAAAATCCGAAAGGGTAAATATATGAATGGAAAATATAAAGTCTGTTAATAGTAAATAATTAATATTTATTGTGACACATAGACCTTATGATGAATTATGCTGGAGGTTTTTATTCTTATTAGTAAGATGGTGCCCCGTTTTATGTTGTTTAGAATTGGCTCATCTTTGTTGCACTAATAAATGTAAAAATGATGGAACAGTTCCAGAATTTTCGAACACTTCATTTTGTGGTATAAAATGATAGTAAATGTTTTTAGAATATAGATAGGTAATTGCGGTGCCTTCCTATTGGGATCTGACATTCGTACACATGCCATCTGGTGTTGAAAAATGTAACTAGTTTTGGATAACTGTTTGTGTCACTTGCAATTGTAGTTCCGCTGTCATTGTTAATTATTTTATCATTATGAATGAAGTTACATTTTTACCGCGTGAGGAATCTTCCTGCAGAATTAAGTGTTCTGTGAGAGGCTGTGGCAGTACTGTAGCGAAAAATTTAAGCGTAATTTTCCATAAATTTCCGAAACCAAAACCAAAATTACACGATTTACACCACACTTTATAATGTGCCCGGCTTGCAAAACGCGTTCACCTTCAATAAATTTTCGTTGAGCAGGATTTGTACCTGCCCATGTGCAAATACTGTCCATAGAAATGAACATTTTCTGCATCCCATGTTATTCCCATGTAAATTCACTAAAAGTGTTACCCAATTTACGCCATATTGCTTTAGGCCCCGCCCCCATGTCAGATCCCAATATGTAAATGCCCTATTGAAAAAATATGACCGTAATTATGGTCCTCAATACGCCTGTAAATTTGAAACCTGATTTACAGTCGTAATTACGGTCATAATTACACCCGTTTATAAAAAGTGGTGGACCAATTCTCAATATCACTATAGGACCTATTGGAACATTAAGAACTCATTTAGGGCTAATTTAATGCCCTATTGCATAATTTCCGGCTCTTTATTTTTTTTAAATAAACATAGGTTTGTCAGCTTTACTTATAGCTTGCAGGACCACATCGGAAAATGGTTAAAAAAGTATTTAATTTTAGTTTTTTAACGCCAAAAATTTCGGCTCATTTTCGGCTCTCAATTCCCATATACACCATTCATTTATATTTAAATTTATTAACCCCTTGCCTGTCGAAGTGATTTCCATTGGAGTCAGATTTTCAGAATTCCAAATGTCGGATCTAATATGGCGGAATAGTTTTTTATAATTGATCGGATTCGCTTATAATTAGTTACTAGGGGGTTTTCGGTGTCACTAATAACGAATCTGACATTTTATTTTAAAAATTTTAAATTGCGGATCCAATATGGTGAACAGAACCGAAAACGGCACAAAATCGATGTTCTAGTGTACTATATAATAAAAAAAGTTTTTGAAGAAATTAAGTTTAATGCGAATCTTAAAAAATACAATCTTTCTTTGGTAAAATAATTAATTATTTCTAAAATATATTATTAAATCCGGTTGCACCGCAGTTGATGGTGATAATGGTGTTGGATTTTCACTGAGATCATTATAATCATACCACTGGTTTTGGCGGTGACATACTGACGAATAGTGTCCAATTGCATCTAAATTTTGCAAATCGCCTAAATATCTTATTAAGATCAATTGGATACTTTTAAATTAGTGTGTATTCATGTTGAGAAATAATTTGTTTATTATCAGATTTTTACATACTGTTTATTTTTCCACTGCTTCTATCTTTTGTCAGGTGATGATTTAAAAAATTGAAGCCACATTCTAACTTGGTTTTCTTATAAATTTCTTCGCTTATTAAATCTTCCCAGAATCCTGGTTTTAATCGATATTGAAATCTTATATAATTTCTATTACCCACACGTCTGTTATATTCGACTTCAATAATTAATTTTTCAAACTCTATTTTATTAATAAGAATATCAAAATCCCACTTATTTTCCTCCAAACTAGAATCACTGCTAGCAGTATCAGATGACTGATATTTATCAGGAGAAGAATCTTCATCCTTGGTTTTTTCAATTTTCTGAGAAAAACTGCGATTTCAAGAATCGTTCTCAGTGGAGTCAAACCAAACAAAAAATAATTTTTTTTGACAAATTCAAAATTTACCCCTTTTTGGAAAATTATAAATATTTTTGACTTTTTTTTAATAAAAGATACTTTTTTTTCTTTTTTCACTCTCAATAAAATGAAGCCTAAGATATATACTTTCAATACCAAAAAAATCGTTTTTATTGTTTTTGAGATATTACAAATTGAAAGTTAACGTAATTCCGCATTCAACGAGTATATGGCCTATTTTGGATTAGAGGATTTTTTAAAAACAATTGCAATGTTAACTAATTGTTTATTAACAATCTACTTATCCAAAATACTTTATATAGGGCTCATTGAATGCGCAATTACGATAACTTTCAATTGGTAAGTTCAGATTTACGGTCACTTTATTTGTTTGTAAAATATTTCATTTTTTATTAACATTAATTAGTTGATTAATTAATATCTTGAAAACAAATAAAACGACATTTTATTTTTTTTGGTATTGAAAGTATATATCTTAAGCTTCATTTTGAGGGTGAAAAAAAGTGTCTTTTATTAAAAAAAAGTCAAAAATATTTTCGATTTTCAAAAACGGTGTAAATTTCGAATTTAAAAAAAAAATTTGCACCATTCGAAAGAGCAGGAAAAACCCTTTCGAAATCATATGGGCAAATCCACGAAACTTTTAACTTTCAAGAAAAAACAATTCCTTTTTTTAATTTGCAGGCACATTGATGTCACTTTGTATATACGTTTAAGTACATTTTAGCACTACAAATTCATATGCGTGATTCATTTTTAGCTCACGCCGTCAATGTTTAACTCTTTAAACTCTTTAATGTTAATAAATTACATATAAAATTGAAAAATTTAACTTTTTTATTTTTGATATCGGAGTGGTTTCCAAAGTATTTTCGTCCTCTGAACACGATTCTATCACCCAAATTTGCTTAGCACGTCAGGATTTTGAGAAAAGAGGGGGTAAAGACTCCAAAAAAGTGTTTTCAGCATATTCTTAACTTAATAAAATTTATTTCACTCAAAATCCTTAAGCGGCGTTTTTGTGTTCAAATATATATGTATGAAAATGTTTCGATCACACCATAGATTGACCTGTTTAAAGCAAAAATGCAGTTGTGCCTTTCAAAAATGTATAAACTTAAATGAAATCACGATTTTTATTATCATCTTTAAATTGTTGCCACAGGAATACAATTAGAGGCACATCATTGAAAAAGGTCTTAAAATTTTTGTTTTTTCATCACCTTTTATGAAATGCATTGAACTTTTATTTTTATCCAACGCCGTAATAGATATTTTCATAAGAAGACGTTCAATTGAATTTTTATAAAAAGTGCTATCACTCAATCAAACCTTCGTATTTTTAGTTTTAGTGGTGGCACACTAATGGGATAGTGAAAATTTGTTGATAAAATAAGTCTTTTAGATATTTTCATAGTAGCTAAAGTGATATTTTTCACGCCGCAAAAATAAAAACGTTAAGAATATAAACTTTTTAAAGAAATTCAAATGAAATTTGAGCATTTTTTCACTTTTTAACTTATAAAACTAATTGTCAAATAATTATTTTGTTCTAATACTGTACATAAATGTTCCTTTGTATATAATTTAGCAAAAAAAAATATACCCAAAGTTTTAATTAAAAATAATTCAGATTTTCAAGTGTTCGATTCGAGAATCATAAAAGTTAAATGTTTCGTGGATTTGCCCATATAGATCAAAATTTTTTTCACCCTGTTATACAATAGTTATGATTTTTCAAAAAATGCAATGCTCTCATTTTGGTAAATAGATCACTTCAGGAATTTTGTCCCATATATATTCTTTTGAAGTACAGTAAAACCCACATATATCGGATTTTAAAGGACCAGAAAAATATCCGTTACACGAAAAATATAAAATGACCATTTTAGTCTGCATCATTAGTCTTTATTCACCCTTTTGAAATTTTGAAAATCTGACTCCAATGGAAATCACTTCGACAGGCAAGGGGTTAATAAATTTAAATATAAATGAATGGTGTATATGGGAATTGAGATCTGAAAATGAGCCGAAATTTTTGGAGTTAAAAAAATAAAATCAAATACTTTTTTAACCATTCTCCGATGTGGTCCTGCTGGCTATAAGTAAAGCTGACAAACCTATATTTATTTTTAAAAAAATAAAGAGCCGGAAATTCTGCAATAGGGCATTAAATTAACCCTAAATGAGCCCTTAATGTTCCAATAGGTCCCATAGTGATATTTAGAATTGGTCCTGTCAGCTTTACATAGCTGAAAAATTTCTCAGGTGTGAATAGCTTATTTTTACACCCACTTGATAAAAAAGTGACACTTGCACTCGTAAAAAAGCGACTTCATTTGTCGGAGATGACCACAGATCAAAGTGATCAGAAGATAAGAAACAAATCAAGGACTATTTTTCAATAGATAAAACGATATGATTTAACGATTACAAAAGTAGCTCTTCAAATTCAATCAATTGAAAGTCTGAAGTTTGACAACTTATTTATTTATTTTGTAGCTTTTCACAACATGGTTGCGGTTTGACAAATGTGATGGCTGATAAAGAATTATTAACAAGTGGGTCTATAATATCATTTTTATTGGGAAAACATTTTAATAGGTGCAAAAGATTGCAGCCAATGATGTCTTTAAGCTTACAGATTTTGCATTTTCAAAAATTCTTCGAAGAGACGAATGAAGAATTAACAGAAAAGATTATACTGTTTCTAAAAAATTATACGGGAAAGGAATTACATGACTTCGAAGCTAGTAAATCGGTATAACATCTATTTCGAAAGTATGAATTGAATAAAGAGCAAACAATGGAAAGTACTCACGGAAATCTACTCAGTTTTATTAAATCTATATATCAATCTT